AACCTTCCTTCCAAGGAGTGGCTGGTGGGTTTGAACTGCCAGCCGTCTGGTTAGCAGGCAAGTGTCTTAGCCACTATGCTACCAGAGTATATAATCAGCATCCAGCAATAATGTTGTTAGCTACCATCAAGAGGGCCCCTGATCCTGGCAACCACATGCTCAATGGAATAAAATGCTGCCCAGTCCTGCACCATCTCCATGATTGTGCTGATGGGACTGTTAATGATCCACAGGGTGTTCATTTGCTTATTTCCAGAAGGAGATCACCAGGCCTTTCTTCCCAGTCCCTCTTTCTCTGGAAGCTTTGCTGAAATCTGTTCAGCATTATAGCAACTTGCATACAAGCCCCCATTGACTGATACAGGGTGGCTGTGCAAGAGGTGTATTGGCTGGTTCTCCCTCATTGAAGGCAAGAATTCTGCTATTGAATCACTGCTGCCCCCCCTCAGAAATGTTAGGTACTTCTTAAAAACCATCTTATGTGGAAGCAAGATAGCCAAATTGATAGAGTATAGTAGCATTTTTACCAGCTAAATTTTTCAGTTTTTATTTTTATTAATATAACCAGAGATTGTAACAGTTACTTTGGAGAACCATGCAACCATGTCCACTCAGCTTAAATTTGCAATCAGTTGAAAGTAATAATAATAAACTTAGTTGTATCAATAGCAGCAATACTACTACTACTTCAAATGACTACCATTGATTGAATGTTTGCACTATGCCAAGCACTATACTAAGTGCTTTATGCATGTTATTAATTTATTAATAATGTATAACATGGAGTTTATACACTATTATGTAACATATAACAACAAGCAACATGGGAGATGCTGCATAGTCATTATCTTGTTTAATCTTAACAGTAACCTTATGAAGTAGGTACTATTACATCTCATTTTGCAAATGAGAAAATTGCTGCTTTAAAAAGTTGAGCAATTTGTCCAAGATTCTCCAGCTAGGAAGAGGCACAGTGAAAATTCTGTTTGATTCCCCATAGGACTTATCTTTTATACAAAGCTTGCCTCTCAATTCTAATTTTATTTTTCATGTGAACTGTTGTCCAACCATGTCTTCTGACACAGAAAGGAGCAGGAGAACTCCTCCACTCATCCTATCCTTGTACAGTTGAATTTTTGCACTTAGATACATTCATTATTATTCATGGAAACTTCTCACCCGGTTTTGTTCATTTTCCAAGCTTGTTGAGATTTTTATTCTGGCTTTTGCTATCAATATCAGAACTATTCAACACATTTCCTACTGCTACTTCTCCATGTTTGTAAACTTTACACATTGGTAACGTCATTTAAGCTAATGATAAAATGTCAGATGGACATTAGCTAAATGTTGAGTCTTCCTTGAGGAGCACAACATTTTTCTACCACTTCGAATAAACATAGATTTTCTTTTGTGCTTTCCAACATCATATGTGGAAGGATTTTGGATTATGTGTTACCTTGTATCATTGTGTCCCTCTCCCTTCCATTACTAACACAGAGGAGCACTGTGTGCAGCATTTCAGTAGCACACTGTATTCTTGGACACTACCTGAATTGTTTTCTCTGACCTAGATTTGTGAAGTAAAGGCTGACTGGGAGGAATGGTGCAACAGACTAAAATCCTCACGTGTGTGTTTTTAACTCATTATGTTGCCATGGTGAGACAACATCGGAGCTCACTCTGAAGAATCAGTGAGTTCTCAACCAATCCACCATAAGGTCTCAATTAATAGGCTGGTGCTTTTCTATACATTTCTTCAAACACTCTGTCCATTGAACTGACTGTTAAAGAGTCAAACAAATTTCTAGTGATGGACTAGTATTGAAGGAGAGTCAGGACTTCTAGAATCTGATAGTGACAAGTATTACTTTCTACCATGTGCTTTGTCAGAGACACAAATGCACATTTTAAATTTAGACAAAATTAATCCTTTTAAAAACAGAGGTGATTAGTCTCTGAAGGAGACCTGGTAGCCAATGGTTAAGTGCTCACCTACAAAGCAAAAAAGTGTTGAAGTTTGACCCACCAGACACACTATGAGAAAAAGATGTGGCAGTCTGTTTCCATGGATTTATAGCTTTGGAAAATCTATGGGGCAGTTCTACTCTGTCTTATGGGGTTGCTGTGAGTCAAAATCTACTTGGTGACAGTGGGTTTAGTTTAGTTTGTTTTTTACTTAGTCTCTAGCACATTTGAGTATGGCTCATTTATAAAATTGCTCATGGCTTAGTGAGAAAAAGACTCCTTATTCAATTGTTACTAATGATCAATTTCAGAGCTATAATCAGTGGAAAACAACCCCAAATGGGCTTATAGTGGAGGAATTAAATTGAGTGTTAACTGCATAAGCTTTAGATTATGATTACATTTGGGTTCATGTCTTGGTTATATTACTTCTTGACCCGTATGTCTTTGGCCAAATTATTTAGCTGCTCTCAGCCTTAATTTCCTTACACTGAAAATTAAGTTGGTAATGATGCTGTCCTCACAGGATAGTCATGACAATTGAGTGGGAGAAAGCATAGAATTTTTTACTTGTTGGGAGAGATTGTTTTCAGCAGTTCTCCCTGAGGAAGATCTTGGGTTAGGGTGAAGCTCAGAATAAATGTTTTGTCAGCCTTAATTTGTAGTTGAGGCCTAGAAAAGTAGGGTATTTCCCAAATTCACAGAGCTTGAAAATGGTATTAGGGAGAAGAGTTGGCCTGGCACCTATTTCCCTTGCTCTGAGACCTGTGAAAAGGACCTGCTGATGGTCTGGCAGGTGGCTTCTGACAAGTTGTACAAGACTCCATTAAAAGTGCATAATTCAGTGCTTCCCTGGTGTCAAGAGCATTATCTTAGCTATAGCTCCTGAGTTTCAGCCATTGTTCTGAAACTCTTGGATACTTACGCTACTTTACCAGGCATATAAAGGAGCAGGGGTATAACAGGAGATTCCTCATTGCCATAAATAATGAATCCCATTTCATGTAGCCTCCTTCTGAAGTATCTCGTGTTTTTTGCAAGTTGTTGTACTCTCTGCAGTCCTGAAAGGAGATATGCATGAAACCATCAATTCCCACCAGGAAGAAGGAGGCGAAAGTCAGGTCAACTAGGCAAGCATTTCTAAGTCTTTCCCAGACCTACATCATTGATTAGGAGGGGGTCTAAGGCAAGGTAGTAAACTATCACCTGGTGAGCAGGTTTGAGCTCTGATGCCCAGGTACTGCCATAAGCCTCAAAGGCAGGATACAGAGGTATTGTGCTGCAAATCACTGCTAGCAACTAAGGCCAGCAGGAAGGTGAGAAACTATCATTTACTGGATACTTACTGTGTGAATGCTCTGTGCTAAGTGCTTTATAAACATTACCTTGGGAGAAAGGAGTGTGACAAGAAGTCACATATACACATACATACATGCACACTGACACACACAGTTGTTAGAGCTTTTTAGCCAAACTGGGTGGCCCACTCAATTGCCCCTCATCTAAATTTCTATTCAAAGGACTTCATCCAACCTGGGTTTGAAAAGGTAGCACATCCCTGGATAAGGATGGTCCAGCTGAGACCAGGGCTATTGTGTGGGCCCATTGGTGGCAGTGGAGTAATCAAGGGAAGGGAAGAGAGAGATCTCTGCTTTCCCCAGTCAGAAAAGATGACAGAAGGACAACAAAGTGCACCTACTTCCCCCTTATTGACTCTCTCATTATCTGACATTATGCATTTAAAACAAAAATAAAAAATCTACTATTTTTTACATTAACAATGTATATCTGGCAGTGATGAATGCAGAGGTCCCTGATAGGGTCCCTGACCAATAGATCTTATGTGAATGGAGAAAAAAAGCTTGGATTGCATAGTATTTCACTGCCCAGGAAAAGAGTGGGGCACAGTCTCCCCAAGCCACTGAGGTATTGAGCAGAGTAGAGTGAGGGCATGAATGAGGCCCACAGGGATGGGATGCTGTCTCATGTGTCCTGGGTGTGTTACCTTTTCAAACACAGGGGGCTGAGGCCAAAGCAGTGGCAGCTGATATCCTGAAGGTTGTCACTTTTGGAGCCAGAGAGGAAGCAGGACTCTTGGGTCTGGCCCCAGCTCCCAGCTTCCATGGGCAGCAAGAACTATCTGGGCCATTTTCAGAAGGAGCCCTGAAAAGGGGACCTTGGTGCACATGGCCTATAGAATCCCACATCAGCTGACCAGAGCTGTACAGGCACTTATGCTTCCTTAATGCCCCTCTTGAGTGGGCAGAAGTGAGGATAGGGTTGACTAACAGGTAGAAGTGGGAGCAGCTGGTGAACAGTCAGCAGCTACTGAAGTTTAAGATCAAGAGTAGGGACTTGGCCTGACCATTTCAACTTCAGAGGAAACTCTGAACTGTTGATTTTCATGGGAACAAGGGGGCCTAAGATTGCAAAGTTGCCCAGTGAAAGCCCAAGGATGCTTAGGTGAGGGTCTGGTGAGGGGACCCAGCTGATAGCATGCAGCCTCTCTGCAACACCCAGACCTTCCCATTCATAGGCAGGGAACTCCAAAATCCATCAAGGATGTTTTCATGTAATTGAAGGGATAAGCCAGGGCCATCCATACTGAAAATATGATGAGGGCAGGAGAGGGAAGGGAACCTGGAAATAGAGGTGGGAAGAGGGGAGCTGCTTAGACACTCTGGCTCTGGAAGACTGGGTAGCCCTCTCTTTCAGGTGACAGTGGGGGCTGAGCTCTCCTAAAGTGATGTGGGGGAAGGGGAGGCAGCAGTGGCAGGTGACCATAGCAGGGGCCTGGAAGTACAGGTGAGGTGATATAGTCATCCTCCACTTTCACATAACACTGATTTTTGCCTAATGGACCTGGTCTTTGGACCTTAACTATGCCAGTAAGTGAGGAGTGTTATGTGTGTCCACAACAAAGTTACTGGTACATCAGCTCTAACCTAAGGGTGTGACTTGGTGAGAAAGTCACACATGTGGGGAAAAAAATGAATTAAAGAGGAGAAAGAATTCTGAAGACACCTGTGTACTATGGTCCTCTATTTATTGGAAGCTAAGTGAGTAACCAGCCAAAAGAAAGGTAGTGTTTGCTCACTGAGGAAGAATGAATATTATTGGATATCTATGTGTGCTCTTTAGTTAAGGAAATTCATCAAGTAGCAATATTTGCATTTGACGAAGAATTGCTATTTATCAGAAATGTTCTGGTATAGTCTTAGTGATTGCCTTCAGCTGATATCTGTTTTGATTGGTCAGATATCTATTCTAGTTTGTCAGAGCTCTTGATCTATGGTTATTTGGTATTTTGAAATCTTCTATGGATGTCTATAACTTTCTAGATGGAAGATGCACAAAAATGTCAGTAAACATATCAAATGGCCATCTAGCCTCTTCTTGGAGAGATGGCCCCAGGTTGTGCCTTGAAAAAGGGGTGAGCAGTGGGTGTTTCTTGCTGAGTATCCTTCCTCTAGGGACCATGACATTCAGGTAGTGCTGACCCTGCCTTTCCTCTTTGCTATAGATTAACATCTCCTCAATTATTAGTTCAAAAATGGAAACCAACCTGAGCCTGTTAGAGTCTTTCTTCCAGATTTACTGGTATGAGATAATCCTAAAACTACATCTTTGCCACCTTGTGGAGGAAACCTGCTTGAGAATGTTGTTGACTCAGAGGAAAGCCCAGGCACAAGACAACAAGGGTCCTGATAGCGTCATTGAAATTTTGGGTCCAGCTGTGTCAGAGTTAGTCTACCTTCTGGACTTGGCTGTTGTGTGAACAAATACATGTTCTTGTTCTACTGAAGCTAGTCTGAGCTGAGTTTCTGCCACTTACATTCAAATATGTCTCAAGTTATATACTGTTGTTGTTATTTGCCATCGAGTCAGACCTGACTTATAGGTACCCAATAATTGGATCAGGTGGTCTCTAAAGGGCAATAATAATATCAACACTCACATAACAATTCTAGCTCTCTCTCTCTCTCTCTCTCTCTCTCTCTCTCACACACACACACACACATATAATGTCAACACTGTTGTAAGAACTTAACCTTTAGTAATTTATTTTGGTTTTACATGATTATATTGAGATAGGTATCTTAATCCCATGTTATAGATAAAGATAAGCCAAGTAACTTACCCAAGTTCACATAGTTGGTAAGTGGCAAAGCCAGAATTTGAAACCAGGCATTCAGGATCTAGAATTTGTGCTATTAACCCCCACACCATGATGCTGTGCAAATAGCTGCAATAGATATTGTCTGTCTGGGTAATGGCTGGTGGCCTGATCCTGATGAGAAACCAGAGCTGGGGGATGGGAGGGTGGAGGGTGACTGACTGTCAGTGATTTACAGGGTTCTGGGCTTTTAGAGAATTTCATTGTTCTATCTCAACCAAACTTTGACCCAGGCATTGAAATTCCCCTCAAGCTCAATAAAACACTTATCTCTGATAAAAGTTTAATATCAAGAATATATAAAGAACTCTTACAAATTAACAAAAAGACATACCTAATCAAAAAATGGGCTAATGACTTGAACAGCCATTTTCCCAAAGAGGATGTACAATTACCAACAAAAGCATGAAAAAATGCTCAGTGCCATTAGTCTATGTTGTTGTTGTTGTTATGTGCTGTCAAGTCGGATCAGACTCATAGCGACCCCTCCTTGGGTTTCCAAGGCAGTATCACTATGGAAGTAGATTGCCCCATCTTCCTTCCAAGGAGTGGCTGGTGGGGTTGAACCGACAGCCTTCTGGTTAGAAATCAGGTGCCTTAGGTACTATGCTACCAGAGCTCCCCCATTAGTCAATAGGGAAATGCAAATGAAAACCACAGTGACATAGCACATCACACATAGATGGCTATGGTTAATAAAAAATGGTAAAAAAACAAGTTTGCAAGGATGTGGAAAAATTGGAACCCTCATCCATTGCTAGATGGTGCAGCAGCTGTGGAAAACAGTTTGACACTTTTATGAGAAGATAAACATAGAATTATCAGCACTTGTACTTCAAAGCCTGTACCCAAAAGAATTAGAAGTAGTAATGCAAAAAGATATTTGTACACCAATGTTCATTGCAGCACTAGTATAATAGCCTAAATGTCCATCAACAGATGAATGGATAAAATGTGGTACACTCAATGGAATATTACTCAGCCATAAAGAGAAATGAAGTCCTGATACTTGTTACAACATTGATGAACCTTGAAAAGATCAAGCTGAGAGTAAAATAAGTCTGTCACAAAAGGACAAATATTGTATGTTCCTACTTATGTGAATTATCTAGAATAGACAAGTATACAGAGACCAAAGTTTATCTGTTATCAGGGGTAGGTGGGAGGGAGAGAGAAAAGAAGACACAATATTTAGGAGATACAGAGCTTCTTTTAAGGCTGATGGTATAATCTGGGAACAGATAAAGGTGATTGTTGAACAACATGATAGACATAATTATGTCACTGAACTGTACATGTGAAGATTATAGAAATGTCAAATGGTTTGCTACATGTATTGTTATCACAAAAACAAAAAGAAAAGTAAGAAAAAAAGATTATGCTGTTTCTATATTAAAGGCTCAAATCCATTGAAAACATCCAGACTGGCAGTTTCTTGGAATTATATTTCCTTTAGTACCAGTAATTTTTGCAAGGACATAATTTACTTTCAAATTTATGGTTGCATATATTAATTTAGCCATGAACCACTTTTTCTTTGCATTCAAAGTCTCTGTTGTTGTTGTTATGTGCCGTCAAGCCAGACCCGACTCACAGCTACCCCTCCTTGGGTTTCCAAGGCAATATCATTACAGAAGTAGATTACCCAACCTTCCTTCCGAGGAGTGGGTGGTGGGTTTGAACCTCCAACCTTCTGGTTAGCAATCAAGTGCCTTAGGCACTACACTACCAGAGCTCCCATTCAAAGTCTTACATTATGTATATTAAAACAATTATTAAATGTCTGTACAAAAAGATAAAAATAAAACAAAACAAAGACTCTTACTTCTTCCAGGTGTTAGGTTCATAATTACATCAAATTTGTTTAGTAGAGGGAGTTTGTGA